CAGAGCAATAGAGGACAGGGGGCCTGGAGAGGTCTCATCCATAGGGTCGCCATGGGTCAAGATCGACACGAAGGCAGATAACAACAACAACAAATTTGTGTGTGTATTTGATGATGATCTGTCTTAAACTTGACATAGCTTAAGGCTTCAACATGTCTGAATCCAGCTTTGGGGAAACATGTGCCTATTTAAATTACAGAAACTATCATTCGCATCCTAGGTACAGCCCTGTCATTAGTAGAGCACATGAGAAAACTGGCCTCAGGCAGCAGATGTTGGGGTGACGGCAGCAGTATCCTTTCATTGTTTCTCCGTGCTGTTCACTCCTGTTGGAGGACAAAACCATGTCTATTATGTGGGCTGCCCTATGGTCCCTAAGCTCACCTCTTTTCCAGAGTTTGCAAACATTACTTTAAAATTCCCAAAATCCTACAGGTTTTCCATCGTTAGAGTTAGAGTTAGTTTCAGCAGCCAAGTCTAGCTGGATTCTGGAACGGGGAGTTAAAAACATTATCCCTTTTATAATATTTGTCTCAGGCAGCAAAATATATTGGCCTAACTCTGTTTCTGGGTATATCTCTCTCACTTTCTATAAACAAGCATATATACCTGCAATATCAATCTGCACTGTCTTTTCTTCCTCTTTTTTGACAGTGTGTTTAATATCCATCCTAGTAGAATTGCCCTGGGACCAGGAAGCAGAAAGGAAACTCATTTCGGCCAAGAACCTGTTGTTGTTGTTGTTGTTGTGTGCCGTCTTCAAGTCATTTCCAACTTATGCTGACCCTAAGAAAATCATTGCCATCCTCTCAGGCTGAGAGAGTGTGACTTGCCCAAGATCACCCAGTGGGTTTCCATGGCTAAACTGGGATTTGAATCCTGGCCTCCAAAGTCATAATCGAAAACTCAAACCCCTACACCCCATTGGCTCTCAAGACCCTGTAAATTTCTAGAATAGTCTAAATATACACCAGTGTTGTTGCACTGGATCCCACAGCTGTGCAATGAGAACTAAGGCAGGGTTACCAAATTTTGACAAACAAAAATGTGAACAGCCTGGTTTCTGTATCAGCTACTTATTTAAGCATTTACTGTAAGTAAGGTTGCATCCACACTGCAGAAATAATGCAGTTTGACACCACTTTAACTGCTATAACTCAATGCTATGAAATTCTGGGAACTGTAGTTTTGTAGACATTTAATTTTCTCTGTCAGAGAGCTCTGATGCTACAGCAAACTACATTTCCCAGAATTACATAGCATTGAGCCATGGCAGTTAAAGTGGTGTCAGACTGAATTATTTCTGCAGTGCTGATGCAGCCTAAGTAATCTCTCCTCTGCCCAAAACCTGATGGAAACACAATTCCATTGTATTCCTATCACTGGCAGAATGGACTTCCTTCTCCCCATACAGCTGTTTCCCATTAAAGCAGTTGGGGGGAGAGTTATGATCATGGCAATAGTGTCAAAATCATGACTAAGTAGTGACCATGAACACGAAACGCTTATGGATAAGTAAATCTAGGTAACTGTTCTATTTTCACGTCACTATTTACTCATGTTTTTTTAAAATATTTTTTTAATTGTTTCTACATAACATGACATCCAACATTAATAATATCAATGCAACAATGCATGTATAGGTTCCATTTAAACAATAAGAGATAAACATACAAACATATATGTAGGGAGATCTTGTAGCACCTTTTGAGCTTTTGTAGACTTCAGTCTACTTCCTCAGATGCATTCTGAAGTCTACGAAAGCTCATGCTGCCAATTTCTTTCTTTCAGCTCATGCTGCCAATTTCTTTCTTTCAGTTAGTCGCAAAGGTGCTACAAGATCATTGATTCTACAGACTAACACGGCTATATCTTTGAATACAAACAGATATTTAAGGATTAACATCACATATACATATACAAAAACACACACTTACTCACAATTTTGACACTATTGTCACAATCATAACTCCTCAACCTTCTTTACCAGACATCTGCTGCAAGGAAAGAAGGAAATTCCTTCTGCTGGGTGAATGGCATTTCTATCAGGTTTTGGAGAGCATGGTTGGGCCATACTTTACTACCAGGTACCTTCTCCTGGCCCAACTAAGTAGCTGATTAACTAAATAGTGATGCAAATTCCAGCCAACACATTTACCAACTAGCTGCTTCAAACCACTGATCTCTTTGAAACTCTCACTTTAATATTCCTACTATTATTGTTGACTGCCCTCATGTTGACTTTGATCTCTGGCAACCCTGTGGATGAGGCATCTCTAAAACATCCTATCCGCAACAACTCTGCTGAGTTCCTCTTTGACTGAGTCTATCCATCTTCCTCTCTTTCTACTGAACAATAGGATCATAAGAGTTGGAAGAGACCTCATGGGCCACCCAGTCCAATCCCCTGCCATGCAGGAACATACAATCCAAGCATCCCTAAGAGATGGCCATCCAGCCTCTGTTTAAAGACCTCCAAAGGAGACTCCACCACGCTCCAAGGGAATGCGTTCCACTCTCGAACGGCTCTTGCTGTCAGGAATGTTTAGGTGGAATCTCTTTTCCTGTAGCTTCCATCCATTGTTCCATATCCTATTCTCTGGAGCAGCAGAAAACAAGCTTGCTCCATCCTCAGTATGACACCCCTTCAGATATTTAAACAGGGCTATTATATCATATCTTAACCTTCTCTTCTCCAG